CAAAGGGCGCAGGAAATAAAAACGGGACGGTACCCGGCCGGGAGGCCAGGGCCGACCGGACCCCCAGCCGGGTTGGTTGCTCAGCCTGTTGCTTCTCCCTGACTCAGCAGACCCTTGAGGCTTCAGAGAGACCCAGCCCGAGGGACAACCCTGGAATCTGATACGGATTCTCTGGCATTAGTGCTCGGGGCCCCCATCAGGCTGGCGGCCCTGTCGCGCTAGGCGCTGCCTAAACATATGTGAGCGATTGGTCCCTGCCGCCCCAAAGAGCTTCAGCAGACAAACGCCCCCCCACCCGCCCCTCCGGGCCAGGACGTAAGAGTGATCGAGGTGCGCACGCCCCACGGAAAGTCCCTGGACTGGAGCCGGGCTGAGGGGTTTTCTCAGCGAACCATCTTCCACGCCGCGCCGAGCACTGAGCGTGACCGTGACCGGTGACTCCTCCAAGGGGGGGATTTCTGCAGGGAAGGGCGGCCAGCTGGCCTTGCTAGAAATCGCAGCCCTACACCTGGGGTGGGCCCGCACCATGCGTCGGAACCGCGAGGTCTGCTCTGGGTCTGGGCGCAGCCAGTTTGCCACCATTCCCAGAACAGCAGGGGTCCCGCGACAGGGCGTCTCGGCTCAGAGCCACCCCCAGTGGTAGCAGCTGCCTTCTGCCCCTCCAGGTATATGGTCAGAGCCTCTGAACCAAAGGCAGCGACCTGCGGAAGCAGGAAGGTGTCTGTGCTCCAGCTCCTTCCCCTGCTGTCTCGCCGGAACGTGACACTTCCTGGATTCTCATCCCACCGCTGCCACCAAGATGTGCCTGGCCAGGGGAGAGCAGCCAAGGTGCATAGTGACGTGTTCTCCACCGTGGGAAGCTTCTTGAGGGCCGGATCTCGGGGAGCCATGTCTGAAGAGCAGACTGCTCTGGAGGGGAGGGCTCAGCTGGGGTTACCAGTGACCACAGGACCCTCTCTTCAATGGCTCCATTTCCCCTTTCCCTGCCCGGAGCGAGGGCGGCTTGGCTTAGCCCCCCCGGAACATCCTCTCACGCCTGGCTCTCTGGCTGGCCCCACAGACACAGGGCCTGCATCAGCAGCGACCGTCCCCTCCAGGGTGGGATTCCGCCAGGGTGGGGTGCCCTTAGGACCCATTGAAGCTGCCGGGCAGGCGGGGACACGGGGAGGTGCCAAGGCCAGTGGAGTTGGGCATGTTCCAGTCTGTCTGCACCTTGCGCTTGATGGCTCAGTGCGTCTCCCTGCAGGCTGGCGCCGAGGGGACCTGCAGGCCGGCGCACCCAGAGACGGAGGCGAACGTGGCCATCACAGGAAAGCAGCACCCCCTCGCTCGCTCCCCGTTCTCATCCAGCACAGCCTCCTCCGCCCCTCCCCGGAGCCCTGCTGCCTTAGCGCTGGGGCGTCACACACGGGCCCAAAGCCCAACGGGAAAACCCTGCCCTCCCACACTGTGAAATCAGCAGCAAAACTCCTGCTGACGTCGGTGGGGGTCAGAGTGATCCCTCAGCTCCCCGTCCCCAAGATCTTACAACGCGTGCGATGCTCCCGGGGTAGCCGGTTCACCCTCGTGTTCGTCTGGCACTTCCTGCCAGCAGAGGAGGCCAGAATCGTCATCCCCATGGCACAGCAGGGAAACTGAGGCACAGAGCGGGAACGTGACATATGCAAGGTTACCCAGCGGGCTAGTGGTATAGAACCCTAGTCTCCTAGTCCATCTACTAGGCCACGGGGACTCGCCTGTTGCAGCCTGCGGCTTTTCCTCCACCATTCGGCCCCTCAGCGGGCAGGACGCCTGGCGGGAGCCAACACCCCGAGGCCAATGGTCATGTTTTAAAAAGAAAAGACTCTCCAGGTGCGTCGCAGGCCTCGCGGCGTCTCTTTTCCCCGGGCACGTGTGAGGAGCTGGCATGAGCTTTGGAGGAAGGTTCGTCAGCTCTGTGCACGTCCGGGCTGGTTTGCCTCCTTTTAATTTCTTGTGGTAATTGTTGGAATGCCAGCAAGCAGATGAAAAATGTCATGTAAACACACCACTGGCACGAGCCAACACAGTCCATCCCAGGCCATACAGAAATGTCGGCTGGGTTCTTCTACCGGCTCCAACACACCGACTCAGAGGCCGGAAGGGACAATTGTGTTCATCTAATGTGACATCCTGCATAGGCCAGGCCAGAAAAATGCAGAACAGCAATCTAGTCTAACAAGAACACATTTAGAATTCATTCAGACCCTCACCCGCCCACCTATGTTTCCTGCCTTTTTGGAGAGGGACGTTATAATCACAGGGGGGCTATATTTAGTTGGTTCTGCTTCTCTGTGGCTGTGCGAAAGACTCACGCATTCAGCAGAGAAACCTAACTCAATACACCATAGAAAAGGGAAGTGGTGAAACTGACATACCGAGGAAAGAGCGAGAACTAGTTTGTTCTCTTTAGAGTAATTCTGGTCACCTGCAGGGGTTCTGGGAAGCAAGGGACAGAAGGAAAATGTGTAGAGAAAGGTGACTGTTAAGCTGACGTCACTTGAAAGGTGACGTCACTTGGAAAGCATTTAAAGACGGCAAAACACCAACATACATTTTGCATTGACATTACATTCCTGGGGAGAATGTCTCATCTGGAGACATTCCTAATGGACAGGAAGCCTGACAATTCCCTTTGTGGCAGAAAAACATGGAACCTGCATTGTAGTAGTTCAGGACAGCAATGCAATATTATTTAGGATTTAATGCTGGGGTGTCCTGACACATCTCCTCCTCCGTCAGTGATGCTAAACGTTCGGCTGTGGGCGTGTTCATAGGCTCCCTCAGGGTATGTCTACACTACCCCGCTAGTTCGAACTAGCGGGGTAGTGTAGACATACCCTGAGGGAGCCTATGAACACGCCCACAGCCGAACGTTTAGCATCACTGACGGAGGAGGAGATGTGTCAGGACACCCCAGCATTAAATCCTAAATAATATTGCATTGCTGTCCTGAACTACTACAATGCAGGTTCCATGTTTTTCTGCCACAAAGGGAATTGTCAGGCTTCCTGTCCATTAGGAATGTCTCCAGATGAGACATTCTCCCCAGGAATGTAATGTCAATGCAAAATGTATGTTGGTGTTTTGCCGTCTTTAAATGCTTTCCAAGTGACGTCACCTTTCAAGTGACGTCAGCTTAACAGTCACCTTTCTCTACACATTTTCCTTCTGTCCCTTGCTTCCCAGAACCCCTGCAGGTGACCAGAATTACTCTAAAGAGAACAAACTAGTTCTCGCTCTTTCCTCGGTATGTCAGTTTCACCACTTCCCTTTTCTATGGTGTATTGAGTTAGGTTTCTCTGCTGAATGCGTGAGTCTTTCGCACAGCCACAGAGAAGCAGAACCAACTAAATATAGCCCCCCTGTGATTATAACGTCCCTCTCCAAAAAGGCAGGAAACATAGGTGGGCGGGTGAGGGTCTGAATGAATTCTAAATGTGTTCTTGTTAGACTAGATTGCTGTTCTGCATTTTTCTGGCCTGGCCTATGCAGGATGTCACATTAGATGAACACAATTGTCCCTTCCGGCCTCTGAGTCGGTGTGTTGGAGCCGGTAGAAGAACCCAGCCGACATTTCTGTATGGCCTGGGATGGACTGTGTTGGCTCGTGCCAGTGGTGTGTTTACATGACATTTTTCATCTGCTTGCTGGCATTCCAACAATTACCACAAGAAATTAAAAGGAGGCAAACCAGCCCGGACGTGCACAGAGCTGACGAACCTTCCTCCAAAGCTCATGCCAGCTCCTCACACCCACCCAGCCCCCAGTAGCGCTGCTGGCCCTCAGCAGAGCTGGGAAGCAGGCCCTGCAGGGCAGGTTTTCAAAGGCCTAGCTCCTAGTTCAGAAAGGAAACAGGGCCTGATTTTCCAAGGCGCTCTGAGCCCTTGGGAACCTGCTCGAACTGTGGGAAAAACCGGGCCGGAAAGAACTTGGAAAGGCCAGAGAGGGGCCGGGTGGCAGGGCAGGGACCAGAATCCAGGCCTCCTGCTGATGAACCAGCCTTGCCAGGGGACCTTTGGGCGCTACAAATCAGTAGGGGTATGTCTACACTAGTAGATGGACTAGGAGACTAGGGTTCTATACCACTAGCCCGCTGGGTAACCTTGCATATGTCACGTTCCCGCTCTGTGCCTCAGTTTCCCTGCTGTGCCATGGGGATGACGATTCTGGCCTCCTCTGCTGGCAGGAAGTGCCAGACGAACACGAGGGTGAACCGGCTACCCCGGGAGCATCGCACGCGTTGTAAGATCTTGGGGACGGGGAGCTGAGGGATCACTCTGACCCCCACCGACGTCAGCAGGAGTTTTGCTGCTGATTTCACAGTGTGGGAGGGCAGGGTTTTCCCGTTGGGCTTTGGGCCCGTGTGTGACGCCCCAGCGCTAAGGCAGCAGGGCTCCGGGGAGGGGCGGAGGAGGCTGTGCTGGATGAGAACGGGGAGCGAGCGAGGGGGTGCTGCTCACCTGTGATGGCCACGTTCGCCTCCGTCTCTGGGTGCGCCGGCCTGCAGGTCCCCTCGGCGCCAGCCTGCAGGGAGACGCACTGCGCCATC